ACAGACCTTTAATTTTTGGGTGAGCTATTCCTCTAAAGCAGCCTAATTTAGCTGCTGTTAAAATTTATGTTAATCATGTTAATCAAACATTAGAAAGAAAATCACTCACTGTCCTTGACCGAATCACTTTTGTAAAAATGAATGTAATTTGTGTCTGTTTACTTGTCTTAAGTATAATCTTGTTTTTACTTAGGCTAGTATTTTTTATTTTTATTTATTTTATTTTTTTAAATATTGAAATTGGTAACAAGAATTATACAATTTCAAATGCATCAAAATTTTGATAGGATAAAAAATCCTATTTAAAGCTATATGTGTGTGTGTGTGTGTGTGTGTGTGTGTGTGTAATAGGGGGCCCTGCAGTATGTCATATCCCCGGGGCCCAGTAAGGTCTTAATGCGGCCCTGTGTGTAAGTATAAACCCCTGTAGATGACTGGCTCCGCTCTCTCCTCTCTCCGTTGTTAGCATGCAGAGATTCTGATTGGTATGTCATCAGTTTTGCTACCTAATGTTTAACTTACTCATTGTTAAACTTTTAGAAAAATGTGTCTTTGTTTTGAAAACTGAATTAATGGTTTGGGGAAAAAAGTGCCAAATAAAACCATCAGTTATATTAACAATCGAGAAAACTGCAATACGACTAGATTCTTACCTAACTCTGCTAGTTTCGTGCAGTTTATTAAATGACGTGTTTTTGCCATTATTTTGCGTTACTCTGTCATCAAGTACCACATGAAACACTGCTTACATTTATATTTTATTCTGTGATAATTCTGGGGTGGCAGGTGGGTGGCACAGCTTTTTCTTGGGGTGGCAGTTGCCACCCCGTGCCACCCGGGTAGATCCGCCCCTGGTTGTCACAGAAACTACAACAAATATGATTTCTGAATACCCATTTGCTCCAATAGCGGAAGAATAAATCCACAATAGGGTTTTTATGACTTTGTTAGAAACACTCACACAGCAGCGTTAACTAGTTTTCTGTAATGCCAATTATTATAAATGTACATAACATTTTTTCAAAATGAAAATATAAAGAAATCTTTGCTAGATTTTCAATGTTAATGCGGAAATGAGTCATCACAGTCTGTGCAATGACAACATGTTTATGAGTTTATGTCATTAAGTGTCATTCGCTAAGTTATGTAATTTTTAATGCAAAGATGACATTGTTTGAGATGTCTTTGTTATGGGCTATGGTTAGGGGTAAGGGTAGGGGTAGGGTTAGGTTAGGGTTAGGTCAAATAATGTCATATTTGCATTAAAAATGACATAACTGAGCGAATGACACTTAATGACAGTTGTCATAAACATGCATAAAACCTCCTTCATATTCATGACATGTGTCATGTCATGATTATGAAGGTGTCATGTCAGTCTTATGCAAACCCCTTCAAGTAAAGTGTTACCTTGAGTAGTATAATCAATAAGTATGGAAGTTTGAGAGGATAGAAATATGAATATATTGATACTGAAGCACTGAGATTAAGCCTGAACGATGTAATAGTAGGCTACAACTCAAGTTTTCAAAAATGTGTTTTGGTACCGGGAATGGAGTAAATTACTTTTTAACACAAGGCCATTTTTTATTGTTTTCAGAGCTGGCTGTGTTTTTGAGCACGTTTCTGACAAATACTGCAGATTATGCTGCAACACATACACAGGAACAAACACTGTGTTTCAGCACTTACTGAAGGGTGTTGCAATGAAACATTATTGTAGTTTTGCAAAGCAGAGGCATAGCAAGCAAATCTGTTTAATATGTATAGACCAAAAAATAAATGTCTACCATTGACAGCGTGCCCAAATTGTCTCTAGCACATTGTCTTTGTTGCAAACTTGTAGTGTTTCATGCATGGGGTGTCAAAAGTGGTTAAAATGTGGATGAGCACATATTTTTGTTTTGTTAAGAGCAGTGTTTCCTCTGTGGTTATCGGTGTTAATGAATGTGAAATATGTGTTCCACATGAGTGAAGGGCTGGTGTATCTAAGACTGCATCAAAACAAAAACCAGAATGAGAACAGGCAATGCTGTTAGTCTATCATATCAGTGTTTTGTTTTTTTCATGGGTAGGATCACTATAATGATTTTATTCTGACTTCTGTTCACTAATGATGTGGTGTCGTCTTACAGAGCCTGTCTACTCTAATCGCCATCAAACGATCTCAGCTGACACACTCTGGAATGTGAGAAATGTGCTGTCTGCCCTCTGGTTTTAGGTCAATGCTCAGTGTGTGTGTGTGTGTGTGTGTGTTTTATACAGCCTGTCAGGAGTTATATGTGTGTGAAAGGGGTTTCCGCTCATCTCAGCTTATTGGTGTTAATGCTCTGTTGAATCTGTGGTGGACTCTTCTGGTGTCTGCACTCTGGGCAGTATCTGTTAGGGTGTGAATTCCTTTGTCTTTCAGCTCTCTCCAAACCTGCTCTGTCTCTCTCTCTTTAATGTTATATTTAATATTAATATGTTAAACTATAGATTTCATTTCCTCATTCATAAGTGCGTTGGAAAAGACGTTTCTTATTCTCACCAAGGCTACATTTATTTGGTTAAAATACAGTAAAATCAGTAATAATTGTGACAAATTGTGAATTTTGTTCTATTTGACTGTATATTAAAATGTAATGTATTCCTGTGATGCAAAGCTGAATTTTCAGCATCATTACTCCAGTCTTCAGTGTCACATGATCCTTCAGAAATCATTCTAATATGCTGATTTGCTGCTCATGAAACATTTCTTATTATTATTATCAATGCTGAAAACAGTTGTGCTGCTTCATATTTCTGGTTGTGCCAGTGTTATTGTGTTCATCCGGTTAGGATGCTCATATGAATAAAGAAGACTAACTGAATATACTTCTTTCCATATTTTAGAATAACCATGCAACAATGTTGAAATATCTTAAATCTGGTCAAGAAACTTAAATACAATTTCAACTGAAAAGCACCTTGTGTGGAAACATTTGAAAAAGGTTTTTGGTCCATTAACAGATCAAATAAATGGACCAGGCCTGCATGCTTTTCACTTTTCTTTGTGTACATATTCTCTGGCACTCTGAGTCATAACTGGCAACACTTTTAC